GGTCGCTTGGCTTTTTTTTTTTTTCACTTGGCTTTTATATGTATAGATTATTGATTGATTGATTGATTGATTGATTTCAGCGAAAGAAAGGGAGACGAGAGAGAGAAACATCATTGATGAGAGGGAATCATTGATGAGCTACCTCCTGCAAGACCCCTACTGGGGATTGAGCCCGCAACCTGGGCATGTGCCCTGACCAGGAATCAAACCCTGACCTCCCAGTTCATATGTTGATGCTCAACCACTGAGCAACACTGGCCGGGCAGAAGGGAACATTTTAAACAGTAACCAGCTAGGTACTCTGCTATTGCCTCTTATCTGTTTTCCTTTGTATTTTGCTCCGATTGAATTGTCGGCAGCTACAGATGGGCAACAGAGTGAATGAAAGGAGTTGGGGCTTAGAACTGCAGATGAAAATGAAGGGAGTTTTAGCTAGATGGGGTCTTTAGAGTGAATGAAAGGAGTTGGGGCTTAGAACTGCAGTAGATGAAAATGAAGGGAGTTTTAGCTAGATGGGGTCTTGAAGAAAAATCTGCATACTCTGGAATTGGAGTGTAAACATAAATCTTCCTTCCCTACATCCTACACTGCACTGTGGTCTCCAGAAAATATATCAGCCACTGTAAGTCCAAGTCCAAGAGGGCCTTGTCTTGTAAAAGAAAGGGGGTGGTCAGCACCTTTCTCATTGTCCCTTCTACTTTCCCTAGATATGTGCAGGTGAAATTTGTCTGTAGTCGGATCCAGTCAAACAGGAAGAGAACACCAGAGGCGGACATGTGCCCAGCATACTTGCTCCTGCAGTACAATGAGAAACTGGATAGATTATTTATCAGTGAACTCAACACCCAGCATATACATGTTGACTCCAAAACTGCGGATCCTGAAGGAGACACTGCTGAATCTCAAAAGACGACGTATCTGCAGAAACCTGAGCCTGAGCAGCCCACATTTAAAAAAGACCTTACCAGGGCTGAGAAGCCCCCGGCTGAACCTTCATTTTGCTTAGGTGAGGTCCAAGCAGCCTCAAAGCCAGAGCGGGAGGGGATCACTCCTTCTGACCTGGCCAAGATAGCGAAAGTGATGAAGAACTTTCTTAAGGTGGATGAGGGTTCCATGGCCTCCCTCAGTGTAGGAAACAGCCAAGACCTGGACCGGCTCAGCTTTCAGAGCAGCAAGATGAGCAACCTGTTCATCCGCTTCCCAGAGAATCTCTTGCTGCACCGGGTGGAGAATGCCCAGGGCCACATCCTGTACGCGTTCTTGGTGGAGAACAAGGAGCGAGAGAGTCGAGTGGTACACTTTGCTGTGCTCAGGGCCGAGACAGCCACGTCTGTGGCCAAGATGCTGGGTATCTTCACAGAGTTCAACTCAGATTGGCCCAAGATCAAGGTAATCTTTGTGGACCCATCCTTCCCTCACCGAGCCATCCTGCAGGAAATCTTCCCTGCTGCCCGAATTCTCCTTTCCATCTACCACACAACCCGACTCCTAAAGAAGAAGTTGCATCGTAGTTCGGCAAATCTATCCTTTAAAATTCTCATGAAGGAAGCCCTACGGGAGGCTGTGTTTGTCACCTCTGATGCCAGCCTGCAGAATCTCTGTCAGATGTCCCAAGCCCTACTGGATGAGGAGCTCTTCAGCTTCCTGCAGACCCACTGGTTCTCCTGTGAACTGCTGTGGTACATGCACGTCAGGAAGGGCCTGCATGCGTGTAACACCTACATGGACAGCCTAGACATCGTCACCAGCAAGGTGTCCAGTCTCTTTAGGAAACAGCAGTCCCTGCTGGACTGCATCCTCCACTTTGTGGATTACATCGACTTCTTTAATACCAAAGGTGTGAAAAACTTGCCCACAGCTCCTCCCAAGTCAAAGAAAGCCCGGACAGCAAGCATGTTACCAAAGTCCAAAAAGCCTTTTGAAATCTGTGGAGGGAGCCTCAGCAGGCCCCCCATGAAAGAGACAAAGCCACCCCCACAGCAGGTGCGGGTGGAGCAGCAGCCACAGGTGCAGCCCTTCCAGGGTGGCATGCTAGACACCTTGCACCAGAGTGGCTTCGAACTGGCCTATAAGCTGTGCTACAATGAATGGGAGGTGGCACAGAACTCGACCCACCTGATGGATATGGCTGGCTCCTCAGTGGACATTAAGCTGCTGGAGGACTCTCACCAGGTTAGCAAAGATGGCTGTAGCTGTAGCTGTTCCTTTCAACAACGGTACCACCTGCCGTGCCGACACATTTTGGCCCTGCTACACAACAGCCAGAAGCCAGTGGGTGAAACTATGGTTTGTCGCCGGTGGCAAAAGAGGTACCAGCACCTCCTTGGGCCTAGTGGGGAGCTCCGGGACCCTGTTGTGGTCCCCAACACAGGCCAGCCTGGGAAGCCAGGAAGGAAGGACATGATCCAGGACCTAAGCAGGGAACTAGCAAACCTGCTAATGCAGAGTGAGGGGCCAGAGCTGGAGGAGCGCTTTTCCACCTTGCGCAAGATTGTGGACATCTGGGCTGATCCTTACCAGCCACCTGCGCCCACTCAGCAGCCAGGGGACTTCAAGGATGTGGGCCGCCTCCCTTTTCTCTGGGGAAAACAGGAGGAAGGGGAGGGATTCCCTCTTGCTGGAGCCACGATTCATGATTAAAGCACTTGCTGTGGCGCATTGAACCACAGACCCCTCTCCTTGGGAGTCTGAGAGCTCACAGTGGGCAGGTCATGCTAGGGGTCAGGATTTTAACCAATGCCTTCCTAGGTAGAGCTAGGAAGATTGTTACAGTAGAGAGAAGAGGATCCCACTTGTGACAGTCCTTTGAATTTCCCCCTTTTTTGCCCTACCTTTGGCATGCTTTGGGAACCCCATTCATTGTTTAAGGCCAAAGTTGTCTCCATGTTGAAAGGTCATCCCTCTGTCTCCCCCAATCCCTGAGAACAGATCTTATTCACTTTACAGAGATGAACCTCATGACCCAGGATAGGGTGAGATGAAATGGACCAGGTAAAAGGGCTTGTTTTCAGGGACAAGGGGAGGAGGGTGATCCTTGATTATTGCTGCTCTTTACAAAGAATCTGTTATGTGTGTCTATTTTTATTCATATTAAAGGTTTTTGTTGTGTTTTTTTTAAATAAAATCAAGGGAAATGTGTGCTGCTTGAATAGGGACGGAATCAAGTGGGGGTTGTGAAGCAAAACAACTTGATGCTCCAAATTCAAAGACTTAATCCACCACTTCATCCCCTTCCTACCAACCAAACCCTTCAACGTTGATTTCAGGCTGCTTCATATTCCAACAGGATGAGGCCAAATAGGGAGGGAAGAAACCGGAATCTTTTTATGTATTTTATTTTTTAATATATTTTTATTGATTTCAGAGAGGGAGAGAGAGAGAGACGCATCAGTGATGAGAGAGAATTATTGATCAGCTGCCTCCTGTACACCCCACACTGGGGATAGAGCCTGCAACCTGGGCATGTGCCCTGACCAGTAATGGAACCGTGATCTCGTGGTTCATAGGTCCACGCTCAACCGGAATCTTTTTTTTTTTTAAATATATTTTATTGATTTTTCACAGAGAGGAAGGGAGAGGGACAGAGAGTCAGAAAGATCAACGAGAGAGAAACATCTATCAGCTGCCTCCTGCACACTCCCCACTGGGTATGTGCCAGCAACCAAGGTACATGCCCTTGACCAGAATGGAACCTGGGACCCTTGAGTCCGCAGGCCGGCGCTCCATCCACTGAGCCACGCGGGCCGGGCGAAACCGGAATCTTCTAATCAGTTGCCCGCAGCTTGCAGGGAGCCTGTAGGAAAGTCCCTAGTTTCTTTGACCCGGGTTTCCTCACCTGCAAAAATCAGTGTTGGCCGAGTTTCCCCTCTAGATTTATATAAACGGAACATTTCGCCACAGTTACAAGCATCAACACTGACTTTTGTTGCTGCTAGCTTGTAATCTTAATCACCTAGAGCCAACCATCTTCAGGGGAACTGAGGTCAAAGGTGGCAGTCGTCTTGGTTCTTGCACTGGTTCACCATGACCGTAACAAGTCACAGCTGCATTTCGGATCTTTCTGTAAAACACGGGGAGGGGTTGCCTGGGCAACACCAAGCTCTCTCAAGGAGATCTGGGTTTTCTCAAACCCAAGGGCTGGGCTCCTAACCCCCGACCTAGAGGCGGAACTTGAAACCTGGGCCTCAGTTTCCCCACGGCAGAAGACTCAGTACAGCTACACAGGCACCCTTTCCTACCGCCCTCCCCCGCACACACGTGGGGCCTTTGGAATTTGACTAGACAAGAAGAAAATTCTTGAAACACAACTATCTTGAAACACAACTATTTATTTTCCACTTCATTTTCGGCCGCTGAGGGCGTTTCCATAGTAACACGCCCTTCTAGTCGGTTCCACACACAGAAGGTTCCAGAGTTCCAGGTTCAGGTCTCAGACTCTCCTGGAAGCAAATATTCTCAGGCTCTTATTGGTTACCGCCAGCCGAGCCCCCTCGTAACCCTGGCAACAGCACCGCCTACAAGTTTCCGGGCTACGATTGGTCCGAGCTCGAAAGACCTAACGTGAGCTCCTTAGGCCATTGGCCCGAGTCACAGGAAACTGGCGCCGCGGTTGGTGAGTCTAGAGGTCAGTCAGAGCCAGAGACCGGGTCAAATAGGGAGAAATGGCGGCTGAGCCAGCCTGTGGGTGAGTGATTTCGGAAGGGGTGGAGATGTAAGGCCACTGCTCACGGTCGGCCTGGACACGGTTCCCAAGGGGGTGGGAGGTTGACGTCTCTTCTGGCTCCGGCCGGACTCCGTGTGGAAGAGCCTGACATCCACATCCTCCCATCGGGCTGGAGGTGAGAGGTCAGAGGCCGCGTCCTTGCTCTGTCCCTGGTTTATGTAGCTCAGGTACTTTGGAAAGCAGTCAGGGTCCCGAGCCAGCGACTCAGCGTCCAGCTACTTACGGAATAATGTTGGGCAAGTCATTTAACCTCTCTGAGCCTCAGTTTCTCATCTGTAAAATGGGGACAGTAACCTGCTTTTGGGTCAGATAGTGGAAACATTTGACTAGAACTTTGCTCTTCATGTCGGTGTTTACATAGCGGCATATTTGTTAGCCCTGTTTTAAGGCTGAAGAGATGGAGGCTCAGAAGGTGTCACTGACTTGCCCAAGATCACACAGCAAATTTGGGGCAATTGCATTTCTCTTGTATACACCAGGACCACATGAAAGAATGGATGCCAAAAGGTAAATATAGAGTGCTGTACAAATATTTAAAATGCTATTTTAAAAAACAGACTATATGCAGCACTCGCCTTCACACCCATTTAGATCTTAGGGAACCAAATGGCTAGCTTATCATTTAGGTCTCAGCTCCAATGTCATCCTCCCTTCCCCCAGAAAGGACTTCCCTGACCACCTTAGCTAAAGTTTCCTTCCACCCCCAGTTTACTTGCTGTTACCCAGAATTGTGGTCTTTGTAACCTTCATTATCTGATATGTCCTCGTTTATTTGTTTACATGTTTATTGTATTATCTCCCCCAGAACAGTGCTAATACACAGTAAGCGCTCAATTAATATTGTCTGGATAATTGAAGAGCCATGCCTCCACTATCTCCTTAAACCTGTGTTCCTCTCCATAGGCCCCTCTTTGGAACAAGATCTGGGAAATACAGTCCAGCCTCAAGCCTCAACTTAGTTGGAGCTTGAGAGACTGAGCCTCCTGTACAGCAGCCTCGCAGAGAAGTATTTTGACCTTGGCATCTAGACATTTCCCATCTCCCCCATGGCCCTGACAATGCTGAATGAGCTCCTCCTTGAGGACCCAAGCCCATCTATGCTGCTGTACCAGGTTAGCAAGCCTGCCAAGTTAGATACCCTCAACTATCAGAGCAACTTTATGCAGGACATCTTTGCCCATTTCCCTGATACCTTATTTATCCACCGGACCTATAACCCAACGGGCAAGGTGTTATATACCTTCCTGGTGGATGGCCCTCAGGTGCAGCTGGAGGGTCATCTTGCCCGGACAGTTTACTTTGCCATTCCTGCCAAGGAGGATGCTGAAGGCCTGACCCAGATGTTCCAGGTATTCAAGATGTTTAACCCAGCCTGGGAGAAAGTCTGTACTATCCTGGTAGATCCCTACTTCTTCCCTCTGCCCATCCTAGCTATGGAGTTCCCCAAAGCTGAGGTCCTGCCCTCAGCCTTCCATATCTGTAAGTTCCTCCAGGACAAGTTCTATCAGCTTTCCCTCGAACAGCCTGTGAAGCAGGTGCTCCTGACCGCCCTGCAGAGCACAATGTGCTCGGCCACTGCTGGCAACCTGAGGAAGTTACATGCACTCCTGAGCAACTGCATCCCCCCAGACCAGCTGACCAAGCAACACTCATACTGGCTGCTCAATGACCGCATCTGGCTGGCCCACCGTCGGAGAAGCCAAGCCGAGAGCAGCCACTACTTCCAGGGCCTGGAGGTCACCACCCGCATCCTCAGCCAGTTCTTTGGCACCACCCCATCTGTGGAACAAGGCATAACCTCCTTGCTCCGATTCATGCAGCAGAACTCTGGGGACAAGGCAGTCCTCAGCCTGGGCCTGAGTCCCCAGAGCAATTGTGCCCCCTCGGACGTCAGCCCCCAGAGCCCCAAAGTGGAACAGTTGGTAGAAGACTGCATCCAGCACTCCCTCCACACCATCTGCACAGAGCCAGCAGCCCAGCTCTGCCTGGGTGAGCTTGCCGTGGTCCAGAAATCTATGCAGCTCATTGGCTCTGGCTCTGAAAAAGTGAATGTACAAATCCTGGAAGACACCCATAGAGTGCAGCCCCAGCCCCCTGCCAGCTGCAACTGCTACTTTAACCAGGCCTTCCACCTGCCCTGCCGCCACATCCTGGCCATGCTCAGTGCCCGGCACCAGGTGCTCCAGCCTAATATGCTGCCACCTCAGTGGACAGCAGACTGTGCTGCTAGTCTGGATGACATCCTGGGCAGCAAGTGTAGTGAGAACCTGGATAAGCACTTGGCTGTGGCTCTCCTCACTGAGCAGGTGGGTCAGCTCTTACAACACTGCAGCCAGGAGGAGTTTGAACTGCGGTACAGCACCCTGCGGAGACTGGCCGACATCTGGATCGGCCCTTACGAGCAGGTCCAGCTGTGATTACCCTGTGCTAAGAGATGCTCACACACAGGTACACACATCCTCCCCTACACACACACTCACTGTTGTACTTCCCTGGACCCTCCCTCCAGGACAAAACAGAGGTCTTCTATTGCCTCCTGCTACCTACAATATGTCTAGTTTCCTAAGACGGGAGTCAGCAAACCTTTTCTGCAAAGGGCCCGACAGTAAATATTTTAGGCTTTGCTGGCCATATACAGTCTATTGTACTTGGTTTTGGTTTTGTTTGTTTTTTCCAACCTTTTGAAAAGGTAAAAACTATTCTTAGCTCAAGGGCCTTACAAAACAGGTGACCTCTGCTCTGAGATAAGAGGTACAGACAGTGGGTAAAGATCAAGGTCTGGGATAAGTTACCCCAGTCATGAGATGACTCTCCTGACTCCCAGAGGAAGAGGCCCCTCAGAGGAGCTGGTGCAGCCAGGTTCCCAGTCTTTTTACTACCCCGGCCCCATCCTGAGGTCATTAAAGTTGAATGTTGCCTACTTTAGCACTCGTCTAGTTTTTTATCTTGCAGAAGGCACGTTAGAAAATGTCATGGAAAGAATAGAGATTTTGGAGTCTGATGCTACATGCAAATCCTGATTCCTTACTTGCCTGATTTTTGAGACCTGGTCTGCTGTTTACTAGCTATGGGACTTCAGGCAAGTCATCTAGCCCCAATTTGTTCGTCTATAAAAGTGAAGATCCTGCCGAAACCGGTTTGGCTCAGTGGATAGAGCGTCGGCCTGCGGACTGAAAGGTCCCAGGTTCGATTCCAGTCTTTTTACTACCCCGGCCCCATCCTGAGGTCATTAAAGTTGAATGTTGCCTACTTTAGCACTCGTCTAGTTTTTTATCTTGCAGAAGGCACGTTAGAAAATGTCATGGAAAGAATAGAGATTTTGGAGTCTGATGCTACATGCAAATCCTGATTCCTTACTTGCCTGATTTTTGAGACCTGGTCTGCTTTTTACTAGCTATGGGACTTCAGGCAAGTCATCTAAGCCCCAATTTGTTCGTCTATAAAAGTGAAGATCCTCACAGCACTGGTAAGATTAAAGGAGTGGGCATATAATGGGCCTGATGCCCAGTGAGTGCTCAAATAAGTATTAATTTTCCTTCCTTGCCTGTGGTCTCATCACCTGCCCTCAGCAGGCTGGGAAATGTAAGGCAAGAGGAAATGCACATTGCCTATGACTTTGTACAAGAAGTTTTGATCAAGTCCCAAAACAATACAGAAGAAACCTCCACTCTCCAAGCAGGGTCCCTACCTCAGGTAATTTTCATTATAATTACTCTGACAAGACCTGTCTCCTGGCTCGGTGGTATCTAGAGAAACTTCCTGGGGTCTGGTATTCATCAGAGTGGCTCAATCACCCACCCTATCCCCATCCCTGCCAGAGGCACCCCCAACCCTATCTGCCCAAAAATCATACGGAGAAGCCACCCTCTGTGTCTGACGCTATTTCATCAGCTACAAGCAGGAGCCAGGAGGCTGGCCCCTCCTGGATCTCACTAGGGGCATGTGCCCAGAGGCTGTGCGGGCATGCACCTGCCCCCACTGCACCCCCTCCACAGCCCCCTCTGGCTCTGGATGGGCCATCATGAAAGCTTGAGCCGCCCGGATTAGGTCCTCTTCCCGCAGGCCTGGGACCGGCACGGTGGGGATGCCAGCAATCATCATGGCCAGGGTAAGGATGCAGATGTCGGGCTGGGAGCCGGCCTCCTTTCCCCCTGCCTCAGAGGGCTTCGGCACAATTCCTGGTGATAGCCCGCACAGTAGTAGGGGCCCAGGCCTGCTGGAGCCACCCAGGTGGGGAGCTCTGCTTCTGGAGCAGCCATCCTCCCAGCCCAAGCTCTCAGGCTGCTTCACATGGGGGAACTTGTGGCAGTATCGGCCGTACTCCTTCTGCCGCAGTGTCTCCCAGCTAGGCCCCCCAGGGCAGCCCCTGGCTTCCGGCACTGCCAGAGTTGGGCCCCAGGCCTGGACAGCAGGTACCACCTGCTCAGGTTTCTGGTTCAGTTGGCCTCGTCCACCAGAGGCCACCACCACTGGCTCTACAGGACTATAGGGGCCAAGAGATGAGCCTCTAGAAGCAGTCTCACCTGCAGAGACAGGAATGAGATGGACTATTATTCTTGGTCTCTTTGAGAAGGAGGCCCTGAGGGGCAGGGCATAGGAGCAGAGCACTGGGAACAGGAGCAATTAAGGCCAGCCGAAGAGGGTTGTCTAGTGGTTGGGAACTAGATTATACTAACATCCACACCCCCGTCCCCAGCTCTAAGTGATGGAGAAGTGTTTGTTGAATGAGTGAGGGAGCAAGTGGGTAGCTATTGGCAAGCACTTTGGGAATGGATTTTCTTTGATAAGAACTGACTTGGGGGCCAGCCCCAAAATGCTTAGCAGAAACCACCACCTCCCCAGAGCCAGGAAGCAAGTTCTCAGGGGAAGTTACACCCATTCCAGTTCCAAGAGCCCCTCTCTCACCTTGGCCGGAAGGCAGAAGACCTAGATGAGTTTGTGGAGACATGAAATAGGACATGGCTACCCCAAAGCGCCTGTTTGTGAGGAAATAGTCCTCGGCCCTCTCCCCTACCCTCCCCACCCTTCTAGAATGTCACCTCATAGTCCCTCCCTTCTGTACCTGGAATCTACCTCACAACATTGACCTGTTCATTCTAGAACCTCTGTAAGACAATGGGATGGGGTTAAAGGAGCACTAAACCAGGATCTGGGCATTCTAGGTTCTTGCCTTTACCTTGGGCAAGTCTCCTGGACAGTTTTGTTCCTTGATATCCTCATCGGTACAGTGCGGGTAATGACTGCCCACTACCTCACCAGAAGTTGTGAGAACTAAATGAGACCATTTGTATGGAACCAAATGACCAGGGATACAAATAATGGAGTCTAGTGGCTGTAGTGTGAGAGAAGGGATTCTCTGCATCGATTCATTTCCTGTATGACCTCTGGGCTTCAGTTTCCCATCAACAAAATGAAGTAGTTGGTCTAGGGCAGGGGTGGGCAAACTTTTTGACTCGAGGGCCACAATGGGTTCTTAAACTGGACCGGAGGGCCGGAACAAAAGCATGGATGGAGTGTTTGTGTGAACTAATATAAATTCAAAGTAAACATCATTACATAAAAGGGTACGGTCTTTTTTTTTTTTTTTTTTTTGTTTTTTTTTATTTCAAACTGGCCCAGCCCGGCCCCGCGGGCCCGGGCCGTAGTTTGCCCACGGCTGGTCTAGGGCCATGGCTGGCAAACTGCAGCTCTCGAGCCACATGCGACTCTTTGGCCCCCTGAGAGTGGCTCTTCCTAATCCTTAGGAGTACCCTAATTAAGTTAATAACAATGTAACTACCTATATAGTTTAAGTTTAAAAAATTTGGCTCTCAAAAGAAATTTCAATCATTGTACTGTTGATATTTGGCTCTGTTGACTAATGAGTTTGCCGACCACTGAC